GCGAGGATTGGTCCCCGTTGTCCTTGGAGGCGCACAGTACAGTCCCGAGCTGGTAATTCCTGGTTCTTTCATCAACGCAGCCGACTTTGATTCCGTTAAAGATCTCGCAGATTATCTGAAGTATCTGGATAAGAATGACACGGCCTATAACCAGTATTTTAAATGGAAAACCAAATACAAGGTTGTCCAGTACGAATTCTGGTTATGCCAACTGTGTAAAGCCCTTCATGATCCAACGAAACCGCCCAAAATTTATCACAAAATGTCTGAGTATTGGGGAAGATATGGCGGATCGTGCCAACTTAACGAAGATCGAGTTTGGAACATTATCAATAAAGGCTGAAAGACGGCACATGAACTTGGAGCCGTTGTTACTTGGAGCCAGAATATGGAATCACAGGGCGAACTCACGGAGGGACTCACGGACGGATCGACGAATAAACAGACGCAGTAAATTCAAATAAACATTCGGGATTTTCTAATACTATATTAGAGAAGAATTTGGGTTTTTATATATTGAGCATATATCGCAGTCTTGCATACTTAGGCGGTGTTCACTCCCTGATTTAGTACACGGAAGTTGTATCTTCTCGTGGCTGCAGCTATCGTCATTGAAAATATTTACGAGCTAGTTTGGCGGATGATTCTCTCAAGTAACCAAACAAACAACAAATAAATAATAATAATTAAAAAAAACAATAACAAACGCGTTCCCTTTTACAACGAGGTTGCCGCAAGGAATTTGACATTCTGAATAGTATCCTTTTACAGCCCCAAAACGTTACAGGATATTTTTAAAAGCCCTCATTAATCTTTTCATGTCGAAGAAGAAAGTAAGATCGGGCTTCGCTTTGCTTTACATTTAGACTTAACTTGCACGGGAGATTTGACTTAACCAGCTTTTTTATTTGAATAGGCAGATTTTAATTTGGGAAAAATGTTTCAGCAAAAAAGCGGCGCGAGCCCTGTGTAGGTGTTCCCCTCCTCCCCACATAGATCCACTATGCACCGAAGGGTGAGTCGCTCATCACTGTGACTGTGGATGAAATGGTGTCGACTGTGTTTTGCAAGTTTGAAGAATGTTACACCAAAAAGGACTACAGCATACCTGTTACCATCATTGCACATCAGTCTTCCGTGACTAGCTCACGTGGTCTGGTGGTTGAAGTGGAGCTTCAAGATTTGGTACAGCATCGCATTTTTTGCACTTCTTACACCATGTTTCATGCACCATTCTTTCACATCTAGACATACATCCCTAGCCACGACTATCGATCTTTCACTCTGTGGTCTTCTTATGATACAAATGACTAGATTTATCGTGTAAGGAGTGGATGGCGTTTTCACGCATCGACTTTGGGAGAACTACTTGCCACTGCCATATAACGTTATTTGCGGGCTTCCATCTCCGATAAACTACTCCATCTCTCAGGCTACAACGATCATACTGATCATACAATTTACACAGTTCACTTCCCTTGCCCATCACAGTAGATGTTTGGAGTTCCTTTCCATGCTCAGTCGAATTCCTCAGCTGTGAGATGTTAGGGTCGATCGCATCATCTTGGACGTTGTTAACTATTTACAACGATAAACGACTCAAGACATCTGCATGGTATGCTTCGAACCGACACGATGCACAATGACGAGACGGTAAGTAGACAACTCAATGGCTATCTTGTCGCCTCTACGACCACTAGAATCATTCCTGGATCAATGTTTCTGTTGCCAGTCAAGGGGTTGTGGCCGGTCACCACTGTAACGTAAATGTCGACCAGCCAAAAAGGAGCGAAATGGCGTGTACTCCAAATGATTGCCCACTACTCCCTGTCATAAGTCACCCAGTTTCGTTGAGAAGCACTTAGGGATTTGCTTACATAGGCAACTACATGTTCTTTACTCCATACACATACTCCCTTGCATGGTTGGATGCATCACAGTCAAGACTAAAAGAGTCAATCGTGGGTACACTACAAATGGAGCCGTTGTCAACCGTTGACGCAATTGCTTGAATGCTACCTCACATTTCTGGGTCCACTGGAATTTGGCTTTGGATCCAGTTAGTCGTTACAGTTGCTCAGCAATAGTGGCAAAGCTGAGACAGAACTATTGATAATACGAAGCAAGACAGAAGAAACTAGGTAATTTGCATTGACATATGGCACTCGGTCGTTCATTTCGACTATCGTGTTACGGATGAAAAAGTCAAGTAAAAATCCCACGATAACAAGAGCTAAGGTAAAATACCTTCAGTAATCCGTGGTAAATCGACCCTCCCTTAATCAAATATCATACTCCATGGCCGTTTTCACACTAGAGACGGATAATCC